CTGAACCTCACGTTGCTCTCTGAGGCATTCTTCAGAGTGTGGCTGTTAGAGAGAAAGCACTTGAGTAGAAAAAAAGTGTTTGTGTGAATGTGATAGTGCAGATGGGGCGGAGCCACAGAGCAGCTCCTCCTATTTCAACCCTACACCAGCAACACTGAAGTCTAATGAGAGGCTGCTCTTACAATAACAGCTGACAACAGCAACCATGGCTGTTGTTCCTACAAGGTCACATTTCACACCTCAGTATGACTATGAAAAGACACAAAGCAGCCTAATTACACAAAGGCAAACTAACCTGTTGCAAGAGAGCGAGACAGGAAATCAAAGGTACAAAAGTATATAATAAAATAAATATTATATATATATATATATATATATATATAATAAAAAGAAACAGAAAAGTACCACAAACACTGCAAATCACTTTAGAAGAAAGAAAAACGTCAACACAAACTGTCAGAAATGTGATAGAAGACAAAGCTACGAAGAGAAAACGACAACCAGCGAGCCGCAAACCTGCTGGAAAAGAGAAAAACTACTACTGGAGGACATCAAACTGTTAAAACAAGTGACAAAAAATGACTAAAGTGACACAGTCCTTTAAATTCCTTTGTGTCTCTTTTATATTCAAGCTTTTTAAATAAAGATAAAATTTGAATGGACATCTTTAAAATGATTCGATGATCTTTAATAACCCAACCAAGTTTGCAGCTCACACACACTGATCACAAACACTGCTGCGTGTCAGCGTCCAGGTCAAAAATGCTAATTTATAATAAAAAAATGTATACATAAATAAACAAGGATGGCTGTGCGAAAATGAACAATCGTAGAACCCAAACCATCCCTGTCAGAGTTAGATCAGGGAGAGATGCTGTGACCTGCTGTGACATGAACAGCAACACAAGCTCAGCTGAAACGCTGGAGCACGATTGCTCAGGAGAAAATCAGAAACCTACCTTGGCTCAAACTGTTTCAGGTGAAGATCAAACTCACTGATGGACGATGGAAAAGAAGAAAAAATCAGAAGGGTGACAAATGCACAAGACTTTTCATCTGACAGAGAGCTGAAACCCCGACACTAAACCTCCTCCAGAGGACCAGCGAGAGGCTGTCAGACGGCGTGGAGACGAGGAACAGAAACACCACCTGATGATAACACCGAAATAACAACAGAGCCGACGGAGCAGCGCCGTCCTCTCCTCAGCACCTCCTCTCCCTCTGCCGCCCGCAGGGTGACGTTAACAAAGAGGACACGAAATCAGCAAATCAGATCACGTGTAACAAATTCATTCAGAGCCAGGCTGTTTCCTGCAGCTCCGCTCTCACGTTTCCTCTTTAACGGGGGTCAGATTACTGAATCTGGAGTTTGGTGAGTCCACACCTCACGTCTCATCCTAAACTGATTTGGTCCTCCTCTGCTTCCTGCAAACTTCAATTCAGTTTGATTTACACAGCGCCAAACCACAGCAACAGTCGCCTCAAGGTGCTTTATATTGTAAGGTCGACCCTACAATAATCCATACAGAGAAAAACCCAACAATCACATGATCCCATATGAGCAAGCACTTTGGTGACAGTGGGAAGAAAAAACTCCCTTTTAACAGGAAGAAACCGCCGTTTATCAGACTGATCTATGGACCAAACTGCATTTTATTCACCCCGTTACCTCAGCCTCGTCTCCTTTACTTCACTTCAATCAGTGCTGGGAGGAATTTCTCATTGTACCACTGCTACAGTGAAAACTTATCCAGAAGTACTCGAGCTGTACTTCTCTGGTCTCAGCTCCCTCACACAGACCTCCCCTCTGAGAGTTGAACCTGAGCTACAATCAGAGATCAGCTGTGTCCAAAAACAGCTGTTTGGCTCCGATTTAGTCAGATTTAAACAGGCGAGTTATGAAATCATCCTCCCGTCGTACAGGTGGCATGAAGGATGGAAATATCTACTGAGATCAACTAATCGGTGCATCAGGCTGTAAGCATGGGAAGTTTAACATGGGAGTCTATGAGGACTGACTCACTGCTGCCTCCGCTGGATGTCAGAGGAACTGCAGGCTTTGGTCCTTCTGGTCCTTCACTTGTGGTACAAAGTACCAGCAACAACAGTACTAATCCTCACACGCCAAAGTACTGCTGTATACTATTACCACACCATTACACCCTATAAAATCACACAACATTACACCAGCTACCCTACAGCATCACCTACGTCTGCATTACATCACTCCATCCCAGTGGCGTGACGATGACCTGAAGAAGCCCAGCTGCCGCAGAGTAAACCCGGCCTGTGGTGCTTCGCTGAGCTGGTACTCACCTCTGTTCCTGACACAGCAGCAGCAGGAGAAGACAGTGCGCTCAGGAGGGAGAGCCGAGTCCGATAACTGCTCTAAATTTAACAGAAAAACATGCCGTACTAAACATGGCTGCGTAGCTGCCTGCGCGCTGCTTATCGTCCTTCTGCTGGCGGGCCATGGCCATACAAGGCTCTGCAGGGCCCGGGGCCATTCAGCAGCTCCTCGTCTCCACCGACACGTGGGGAGATAACCGCTAACGGCTAACAGAGGCAGGAATGCTGGGACAAGTGCCTCGCAGCCACCCCCATCCCCAAACCCCCACACATGACATCTGCACAACCTTCACAGGGAGGCATCCAGAGAGCGACACACTCACACCTTTAAACACGGTTCCTCACAGCAGACGAGCCTCGCACGACTTCTGATTTTATTGTAAGTTCTTAATATTACAACGAGATTCTTTTTGTGACTGAGGCTGACACCTGTGCAGGTTCACCTGCAGATTGAAACCCTTGCTGTGGGGTTATGAGGACAGAGTTCAGCTTTAAGCAGTCAGAGCAACACTTCCTGTGATTATCGTGATCATTTCCTGCAGCAACACGCTCGTGCTGCGGTTCAGTCTCAACGATGAAGGTTTAGGAGTGAACTGTAAAACTCGTGCTTCTGGTGTCTGTGCAGACCAATCATGAGATAAACACGGGGGTCAGCTGACCCTCCCAGAACCACGTCTCATTTTCTGTTATTTTCCGCTGCATCAGTGCAAGTTTACAGAAACTCGGACCTCCTCTCAGCATCAGTGACATGGATCAGAGAGCAGAAACCAGCACTGGTGCATTGTGGGTAAACTTTCAGGTGTCTGCTCAGAGCAGGTGAGAGCAGGTGCTGTTTGAGGCTCATGATAGCTGGGATGTTAGCGTCCATACTGATGATGGCTCTGACCTCTGCTGGGAGTTTTATGAGAGTCATGGACACGTTTTGTTTTTACCAGCATGTATCCCAGCTCATGCCAAAGGGCACTCTGGACCTTGTTCTCAGGACATTTTTACTTCGGACCAGCGCTGTGTTATTTTTATTTATCTGTATCTGTCCTACACCAGTTCAGCCTGTTGTCCAACACCAGTAACTTTACCTGAGTTGGCGAGCTTAGTGGTACCATCTCTGTTACCTACACCAGCAGATCAAAAATGTCCCACAGTGCATCACCCCCAGTGTGCTCACTGTCGTTTCCTGGCCTCTGGCGAAGTAGCTGCTTCAAAAATGGTGTCATCCACCCACTTTTGAAAAAGGAACATTTGGATCCTCCTCTGATTGGCAGTTATAGACCCACCTCCAAGTTGCCACTTACTGCTAAGATCTTAGAGAAGCCTGCGGCCCTCCCTGAGACCTCACTGAGTCAGCTCTGAGAGCATCAAATGATGATGCAGAGTGACGACGGTTGCTGTTCTGTGTTGGAGCTCATCTTTTCATTCTGCTCAACAGGTGCTGGGTTGGTGTATCAGGATCTGGCTTGGAGCGCTTCTCTTCATACCTGTCTGACACCAACAAGCTCACCTGCTTGCTCAGGTGTCAGCAGGCTGGTGTAGTGTGGGGAGTAGTGAGTGCAACAGCTGAGCCTGAGCCAGCACAACAACCAGAAACAACCAGCAACCAGGTCTCGTAGGCTCAGACGACTGCTGCTGCAGCACAGGAGGAGGGGCCACAGCCCAACAACAGCGTGAGGAAGAGACGAGGACGGTGAAATTAACGTGGTAAGAAAACAGATCACAGGTGTCGAACTCCAGGCCTCGAGGGCCGCTGTCCTGCTTGTTTTCCAACTAACCTGCCCTTGTAGCTTCTTACTGGCAAAGCACACCTGATCCAGGTAATCAGCAGCAGGTTGGGCAGGGATATCTCAAAACCAAGCGGGATGCTGGCCCTCGAGGACTGAGGTTTGACAGCCCTGAAACAGATGTAGGGACATAATTAGGAAGGAAGAGACTCAAAGACTCAAGTAAAATAAACGGCCACTCGACTACGACTAACAGCTAACTGCTAACAACTGTTGATGGTCACCAGTGATGGGAATAACGGCGTTAGTTTTTTCAGTAACGAGTAATCTAACTAATTACTATTCCTATCGTTGCAACGCCGTCACCGTTACTAACAAGATAATGCGGTGCGGTCGCGTTACTGTTTTTCAACAAACAGACAGTTGAAGCTGTCTTCAGCTTTTCGCACCTTATATCAGTTGCACGGAGTAATCTGGGCGCTGCAGCTTTAAGCAGCTGCGCTCCCGCGGACGGCGATCACTTTCTGCCCGATGATCAGTGTCTAGCACAACATCTGGAGCTCAGGGGGCAAAACAATGGCATGAGTGCTGCTGTTTGACTGAGCAAGAGTAAAGGAGTCGTGGTAAGACAATCACATGACCACTTACAGACAAAGCAACAAGGTGACATATACCAGTTTATAAATTGTGTTGATAGGCCACGTAAAACAGAGTCATGCTAATCTGGCGACACTCTCGATGGAGGACATTGAACGACATCTACCAATTCAGAACCACGATAACGGAGTTCTGGCTGATTGGAGCCGGCTTATTGAAGCACAGGACGCAGCTACAGCTGTTCAAAATCCCACAAGGCTGGCCGGCATGATGGACAATGTTTTGAAAGCAATATGGATAACATGTTGGAGAAGAACGGGAATTGAGAGACCTGGTGACCTGTGACGGACATTAGACCAACTGTAAAAATTGGATGCAGTTGTTCGCACTAAACCCAAACATTCACCATCTTCACTCATGTGGCCCCACTGGCGCCAGCTGAAGGCTCTGAGGTCGAAGCTGGAACAACAAATTCTTCCATGATAACAGGATTGTTGTCAGAACTCTTTGTCCCTCCTTCAAGGCCGTCCGCGTTGATCGAAGATTGTTGACTTTTGCTTAACCGGGTGAAGGGACACTCTCTCTCGGTTGACACGGCACACCTCACACACACACACTCTCACACACACACACACACACACACACACACACACACACACACAAACAACACACCAAAAACACAAACACACACACACACACACACACACACACACACACACACACACACACACACACACACACACATCACACACACACACACACACACACACGTATACGACACAGCCCCCCCCCCCCCTCCAAACGTCTTCCATGTTGTGCAATGTGATGATTCCTGTGCTGAGGTGTATCTCCCCGCTGGAGCTCAGTCCGGGGGGGTCTTTTTTCTCCTCGTCTTTCCTCATGTGGTGCATTTTCCATTGTTATACCTCTCTGACCTGTCAGCCCCATGTGATGTTTGTGTAATGTATGTATGGTCGGACAGGTAAGACGGCGCTGGCACGGCTGGCAGCCTTAACCCAATTTCCCTCGAGATGAATAAAGTATTTTCAATCAATCAAGCAATATATACTTGCGTTTTTCCTCAATAGTTTGGTCACGTTTACTGTCTAAGGACAGCGCAGCGAGCACTCTCTGCTTATGAGCTAAAAATTAAAAACAAAACAAAAAACAGCCCGTTCGTGTTGGTGGAAAAATGCACCATGTCGACCAATCAAAAGTGATATGGCAACATGACGTTTACGAAGAGGGGGAAGATTTAGGAGTGACAGCGAGAGAGAGAGCGAGTTTTAAGATGTGAGAGATTTGTGACGTTTAGCGTGTTTGGAGTGTGTAGTTAATGTGTTGTCTTGTGTAGTTAGTGTGTAGTGTTGTGGATAGTTTTGTGTTGTGTGTCAGAACAATGAGGCGGCTGCTGTCTCCAGGTAGAAACAGGAGTGATACACCTGCTGCTGTCAGACCTGCAGGTATCAGGCTGTGATGTTTCCTTTATAGTGGGCAGAAATATTTGTGGCACCTTATTGAAGAACAGCTGATTGTTCTGTAAATAGTTTGAAATGGTTATTTTAAAAAAGGGTCAAAGGTAAATGGATGCAAATAACTTTGTTTGCAAAACTTGTGCATATGATTTTAAAATTGGCCGTTTATAATTTAAAGTTATGAAATATGATTCAATGAACATGTTTGTGGTTGTTACAGTAAAAAACCTTTTCTACTCGAATTTGATGTTTTTTGTCTGATTTTAGATCAGTTGTGTTACTACAGTAGTCAAAATGAAAACAGGACTGTAGATTCAGACACGTGAGGCTGTGCTGATGAGACCAAACAAGGCAAAGGAAACAGTTTTAAAGGTGAAACGTGGAGGAAACATCAGAAGTGGTTAAAAATGGCCGATTACACCCTGGACCTCAGAGGGTTAAACGTGTTTTTTAAAGTAACACAATAGTTACTTTTCAAGTAATTAATTACTTTTAGAATCTTGTAACTCAGTTACTAACTCAGTTACTTTTTTACAGAAGTAACTAGTAACTATAATTAATTACTTTTTCAAAGTAACTTGGCCAACACGGATTGTCACACACTGCAGTGAAACCAAGAACCCAAGCACAACTTTCAGTTTTCAATATCAATAATAAAAAAATAAATATTCATATGCAACAAAATGATGGTATATTTATTTTTAATTATTGATATTATCCAGCTGCTCTGAATGCTCGGGTTCAGGCACTATTTTGTACCCTTTGATCTGTATGAGGTCATGCAGAGGGAGGGTCTTTGTATAGTCATCTCACATACTGAAGCCCCACCCACTTGCTGGACAGGCCTGTTTTTGTGGTCAGCCAGTCAGAAGACATTTGGCCAAAGTGGAAGGTAGTTTCAAAGGGGGAGGAGCTAAAAGAGCATGTTTATGACATTTATGAAGCGAGGGGCCGAGGACGAGATAAAGCCGGATGATGTTGTCCTGACCTCAGATTCCCCAGCATGAAGCAGACCACCAGTAAAGCACTGACAGACAGACGCTGAGGCTACCCCGGCACTCAAGCACTGTTTCCCAGGACTGAGGAGGCCAAGTTTATCTCTGCCGTCTGATTATCACCGCTAACATTCCTCTGGCCTTTATTTTTAAGTGTAAGTGTGTGTGTGTGTGTGTGTGTCACATTCTCACAGTGCATCAAACACTCCACCTGTATCTCACAACCTCCAGCCTCTCTCTTTAAAGTCCACAAAGACGGAGGTTGATGCAGGCACAAAGGTTTGGTCACAGGTGTCAGGAACTACTGGACTCAGAAGCAGACGGTGGTCAGGAGGAGGAGGAATGGGCAGGGAGCTTTGAAATAGAGACCAGACACATTTTATTTTTGTGCAGTTTTTCCACACTGTGCCGGAGGTGTGGTCCATGACTCGGCTGCAGGGGAGGAGCGGCACAGTGAGCTCAACGGGGTGGTGCTGGGGCGGCAGGTGAGAACACAGCTGGTGGCGTTTGGCCTCATGACAGTCTTTCCCCCTTTTTTAGCGAGACGGGAGACGAGAGGAGGGAAGCTTGAGAGAGCTGAGACTGGAGCTGACCAGACTGAACTGTCACAAAAGCAAAGTCAGAAATAAACGTGACATCGAACTGTGTGTGAAGTTCATTTTATACACACGTCGCTAAAAGTTGAGCTGTTTCCTGTCGAGCTGCTGCAGGTTTACTGTGCTCCTTTTAAACTGTATTTCTGTACGTACAGTTTACGTGACGTGGGCTCAGTGTGACCTTCAGACAGCCTGCAGAGTCAAACTCATCAGACTCACTCTGCCTGGTTATTGGTGCTCAGCAGCTGGAAGCGCCTCTGCTCGTCCTCTGTGTTCTTGCCGTTTTCCCTTTAAATCTGTCACATTCAGATCCTAACAATTTAATGACAACAGCCCCGAGTTCATTGAACCGCTGTAGGTTCAAACAAGGATGCGTGTATTTTCCTCCAATAAAAAAAAAAAAAAATCTAGTTTTCTATCCAGCATAGCTACCCAGTGACAGCTTTATAAACAGAACCATCTTTCATTGGTTTTTAAACTGTAGGACCAACTTTCACATTGCAGTAACTGTTTGAGGAAAAAAGGAAAAGCTGCTCGCCTCCCAAAGTGTTAAAAGATGCACAGAAGAGCTCTGATGGCAAACTTCAGTCAGCAATTTCACCTCCTAAAAACAATGGTGTTTGATTTCAGTGCAGGTGGTGGGCGTGGCTTCAGTCTGCTGACTCCACCCCTCAAAGATCAGTACAAACGTCACCACCCACCAGAAACATGGTTGAACATGAAGTAGGGCTGCTCAATTATGGCAAAAATGATAATCACGATTATTTTCACTGAAATTGAGATCTCGGTTATTTGACGATACTTATTTAACCCTATAAGACCTACTATAGAACCAAGTCCGCCAGAGCTTATATTATTTTTTTACATGTAGTGCCATTTTTGGGAGCATTTCAAGTTGCTATACATCAATACAACTGTTATAGCCCATATTTTAATAATATGTATGCATTAAGTCGCATAGTAATTACATTAATTAGCAAAAAAGTGCAATAAACTACAAAAAAATTGAAAATCGTTTTTGTTTTTTTACATATATTTCTACTTGGAGAAATTTAAGAGGTTATCCCTCTAAAACTTTAAATACAAAAAAGTTGCAAAAAATAGTTTACAACAACAGGAAATTTATTTTGAGTGTCTTCATAGTTTTATTTTGGAGATAAGCAATTTTTATATACTGCAGGAAAAACGAAAAAACAATCCTATGATGCAAATTTGCAAAGAAAAACATGCATCAAAATAAACTATTTCCAGCAGTGCAATTCGAGTTCTAAGCATCCCAGAAACTATTCAGAAAATAAGAGTCAAACATGACTTATAAAAACACCAGTATAGGCTTTTAAGGCCTACAAGTAAAAAACTACATTTTCCGCGAAAATGACGTCACTTCCGGTTTCGGACAGGAAATGGCGGACATGCGATAGTTCGGTTGACGTCTTTTCAATGTGGGAAGTGTTACGAACAGCTGATCGGATCGGCAAAGCGTGTTTCTGGAATATTATGTTTTTGTTCCTGCAAGCGCTTTTTATGCAATTTTTGCAAAGCTATATGTGGAAGGAAACCGTGACCGAGGACAAGCTGATGGCATAAGATGTAAGTACAACTCCTCTGGTTTCATATGCAAAACAAATTATTGCGCTAGCTTACACGGTTCGGTTCTACAGGGATTTAAAGGGTTAACAATAACAATGTATTGAATAATTCACGGAAGGAAAGTTCTCCCTGTCTCTGCCCCTCCCTCCCATTCATTTGAATACATTGCACTACAGCTCCCTGGATCTACCCCCACCATCATATGTACTGTTTATCGGCCACCTAAGCCAAATAAGGAGTTTTTAAATGAATTTTCTGCTCTTCTCACTCATTTCTCTGAACTTTCTCCAAATCTGATAATTGTTTGTGACTCCAATATTCATATGGACAATGACAAAATCCCTCTTTCCAGAGATTTTACCTCCTGCCTGGAACGTTTTGGGTTTTCCACTCATTCTAAAGGACATATCTTGGATTTGGTATGTTGTTCTGGCATCACCCCCACTCACTGTAAAAATAAAATAGGTCGTCTACGTCCACTGTGAACAACCATCACTGATCAGAGGGCAGGGTCCACAGCCTTTTTCACAGTCACATGGTCAATAGTGGGTCATTGACGCTCCCACTAGGGCTCTCCATTTGGTCTCAGAACTGGAGAAGCTTCTCAGATGAAACATCTTCAAGAAACTTAAAGAAGTCGAGACACTTTTCTTGCCGAGCTCCTTGGATCAGCTTCTCTGGCTCTAAGCTTTAAGCTAACTTTCCATTATGAATACAATGATCCAATAAAAACAGAAGCACTTATCAATAAGACATTGTAGATTTTTGAAGATAAAATGAAATGACCCCGACCGCACAGTCCCATACAGCTCATGATATCAGCAGCTGAACAAACGCAGCAAAGACAGGAGGCACTGACGATACACAGGAAAATTTCAAAATAAAATAACGGGATAAAATAAGACAGGCTGTTATGGTCTGTAGGCAGCTTGTGACTCCTTTAAGCAAAAGCCCCATATAAATGATTATCGCTTGCTTAATAAGAACTGCTGAAGAAATAATGAAAATATAAACAAAACGTACAGAATAACTGTTTCAGGCTTTATGTACGAGGTACCCTGAATGCAACACGTCACCGTCATCATCGAGGATCTCTGCATCGGCCTCGGGCACAAAAAGACAGATTTCTTCTTTCCTGCTCAGAGTTCTCCTTTCACCTCCTCAGCACACAAAGAGGAGGCTGTGGGGAGTCTTTCATATGATCACAATCAGACTTAGAGATTTAAAACGTGTTTTTATTCTGTATTAACAGTGAGTGCTTGAAGGTGTGAGGTAACAGCTGCAGGGTTGCATGCCCGCGTCCATCACACAGGACACTGTGCGCCCTCTAGTGTGCGAGCAGGTGCAGTGCAGATGAATAGGTTTCACAGCATGAACCCCATCAAGTCCCCAGCTGTCTCACCCAGTGGCGGTCCTAGCCTGTTTGGCGCCCTGGGCGAACACTCCCTCTGGCATTGGATTTACAACATTATGAATGAAATGTGCTCTATCTGGAAGCAGCAGGCCCCTCCCCTTTCCATGGGTTGTGTGGGAGACTTTAAATCATCAAACTGTAAATTATAAATTTTAAATTTTTATTGATCGATTTACCCCGAGTCCTAAAGTGTAGATTTATTTTCTTACTCTTCTTATATTTATAGTTTATTTACTTGCACTGCTGTAGCTGGAGCCTCGTCGTCTCGTCTCTATGTGCTGGACTGTCTGTAGTGGAGATGACAATAAAGTTTACTTTGACTTCAGCAGCGAGAAGGCGCACCGAGGGCTCTGTATCATGACGTCTGGTGTTTTCGTGTTTGTTGTTTTGTTTTTATGTTGTTTTATTTTGTGAGTTGGTTATTAGACGCTGCTCCAGCCAGCCAGAGACTCCCCCGCCGCCCCGCCCTCTCCTCCCTGTGCAGCAAGCAGCAGGCGCCCTTACTCCCAGCAAATGGGCGATAGAAAACCGATCGGTACCTGTACCATTCCCTGGCTGACGTCGGGGCAGCATGAGTACCAGCAATTTTTTATATTTTTTTTGCCGATGCCCGTGCTGCCCCCCCCCCACGACGCCGCCCCAGGCAACCGCCCGTATCTAAAACTGCTACTGGTCTCACCAGATGTTAGTGGACCATTAGTGGCAGATCCTGGGTCAGTTTTCTGTCGTTTGTATTCCAGTTATTGATTTTCTAGCTCCATGATGGGTGACTACGCATGTTTATAATAAGCACGCCGTAAACTTAAACAAAGTCTGAATAAAACATTTCAGTTAACAGGAATTAAAGCGTAACACTGAACTAATACAGCTAAAGACAAGAAAAGTACATTTATAGGAAATGACAGTTACTCGTGCTGTACAAAATCTATAATTATTATCATGTAGTAACAGTTACCCAGCAGTAAAGTACATGGGTGTAGCATTTCCACTGTGTGTATGGAAAGCACAGGCCACACTCAAACAGGAGACCACACCAAGGAGTCACAAAGCTGACCTTGAAGAGCTCGTGTTGATCGCTACAATGAGCCCGGCCTGCACCCCCGCAGAGTTTCGTCAGGATGTACTGAAAACATTCCCCGGCAGGGTCCTGAGTCTGGGACGCTGTGTTTACAGCACGTTCATTATTCTGAGATGTATTGAGTCTGCTCTTGGTTTTGATTTCTATTCCGTATCCTGAGTCTCTGTTCAGCTGCGTTCCCAGATGTTTCCTGTCTGATTCCTGGTTCCTGTAAGTTCAGAAATAAAACTGATTCCCAGTCCTGCATTCGGGTCCACTGACACACAGCCGGTCGGGACATTTCCAGTGTTCACATGACACAGAAGCTGCTCAGTGAGAGGTTGCGTCCCGTCAGCTGGGTTAGGGTTAGAGGTTGGAGGTTTTGCAGGCTCAACCTCAGGGCGACAATTTAGTTGCCGCAGCTTCTACCGAATATGAAACAATTCTGTGCCCTGTTACCATGGTTCCGAAGACATATATGTATTTCTTGTCCCCCCCACCTCGTTTTTGGTTTTTGCCCTTTATCCCCGTCCCTCTTCCCCGCTGTTTTTCTTTCCCTCTTTCTTTCCCCCGTCACGTCTGTCCCGTGTGGAGCAAGTGAAAATAAAATAAACAATAAAAACAAAGATCAATCAAGTAGACCAATTCAGCAAGGCTGGGATGGTCCATTTGGCAAAGTAAATCCGTTGGGCATCTTTCTTTGCCTTCAGACAATAATTTTGATGGCAAAAGAGCCAAGCAGGACAGGCGGGGGAAAAAGAAAGAAAATGATCACATCGCATCACCAGTGATCGTCCGACGCATCCATCAGAGTGTGAAGAAAGCACTTACAGGCATACAAGAGTATATTATTACCTTAAACATATATTATTGTTGTAAAAAAGCACTCAGAGTAGAAATATCGGGTCATATGATTGTTGGGTTTTTCTCTGTATGTGTTATTGTAGGGTCTACCTTACAGTATAAAGCACCTTGAGGCGACTGTTGCTGTGATTTGGTGCTGTATAAAATAATAATAATAATTGAAACATTAAACGCTTCCTCACAAGCCGTCTTAGGCCTGATTACTGTCATGTGATGATGATGTCACAGCACAATAATAGGCATCCTGCTGGAGGATGACATCATCATTGCATCTGACAGCAACATCAGCAGGTTCAAAGGTCAGCTGTGGTCCAGGAATCTGAACCAGTGTGAAAAAGTCTACAGTGGTCTCCATGGTAACAACAGGTCAGGGCACGAGGGTCCACGGGTAGATCGGTCGGTGGTGTTGCTCGTGAGCACAACGACCAGCTGTGTCCAGAAGATTTAAGTTATTTATGAACCCAGTGGGCTCGTTTCAGCGGCCTGATTTACAAAAACATAGAAACATAGCAAAAAACACACAAGTTCAAAGACACGTCCGTGAGAAAGTACGATAACAAGAACACGCCTACATATTCAGCCACCCGGAGCATAAAGGCGCTGACTTCACGTCACAGTGAGTCAAACATCAAGTCGTTTTTCGACATAAGCCCAGACTCTCGTTTCTACGGAGAACTCAGAAACACAGAAGAACCGAACGACAATGTGCAGAACCCAAACCCAGGATAAAGGGGTTCGGTGAATGTGGTGTGGAAGGTGTGGAGGAGGGTCTTTGAGCCAGAGCAGATTCTGTAGAAGGACAGAGTGCCCGCAGGCCAGTCCACATACACTCCTGCTCTGTTAGAGACAGAGGAGAAGGCGGAGGAGGAGATGTCTTTCCCTGTGTTGTTGTGCCACACAGAGTAGTGATCAACATCAGAGCACATCAGACTCCACGACTGACCGTTGCATCCAAACTTGCAGTCGATACTGTCTCCTCTCCTTCTGATTCCTCTGTAACTGACTGCGATATCCACCACTCCTTTCCACTCCACCTCCCAGTAACAGCGACCAGTCACACCGTGCTTGCACAGCAGTTGAAGGCAGAAGTCAAACCTCTCTGCGTGCTGGGCGTAAGGCTCCTGCGTCGACAGTGCCGTCACTTTCCTGTTGTTGTCGGACAGCTTGAGGTTTCTGTTGGCTGTGCTTGTGTCCAGTGTGAGTTCGCAGAAATCTGAGAGAGCGGAGAAGAAACAGCAGCAGCGATTTGTCATATTTGCATGCTGAGTTAAGATGGCGCCAGTGTGCTTGACTTGCCATGTGTCTGTCTCGCCACTTTTTACCCTCCCTTTTCCCTTTACCTTCACTTATTGACCTCGGCACTGGGTTTTGTTTTGTTTTTCTAGTCGTATGTTCATCTAGTGGTTGTGCACTGATTACATATGACAGGCAAACACTTTTAACTCTTCGTTCTTTCCATTTGTTTTGAGCCAACCCCTGCTGGAGTGTGGGCAGCGCTAATCTACCACAACTGGATTCGTCCTTCAGCTTCTCCTCCCTAATCTCCACAAGAAGCGCTACAGGAAGCGGGAAAGAAGGAGTGGCCGTCGCGTCCGTCTCAGGGCCTTTCTCAGAGCCAGAATTACGGACCATGTACATGCTCACCTGGACACGCCATCATTTTCTCCCTGGACTGCTCTGACGCTAGGTTGCTTACTCATTGCTGGATTTACCCAGTTGATCATCAAGCCTCCTCTGCCCGTTCTGCAACACGCTTTCCTGCTCGGATTTGGATAACGTTGCGCCAACGGGGATTTGTTGAAGCAATCTAAGCACATCGTGCTTCTAGAGGTGACTTACTACCCTGGCCACGGATTGCATTGCTTAATGTCAGGTCGCTGGTAAAAGACCTTTGTTTTAAATGCCTTTTCTCTACTAACAGCCTTGATGTTTTATTCCTTATGGAAACCTGGATTCGCCCTGGTGAGCTCATCCCTTTCTCTGCACTTCTTCCTTTGGACTGTGCCTATTTTAGTTCACCGACGCTTTCTGGTAGGGGAGGTGGTTTAGCCTCGGTTTTTATATATGACGTATATAATGTTCGGTAACTTTCCTCACCTAACTTTGCTAGCTTTGAAGCTCAGTTATTGGAGATGACTGCTTCCACGAGCACTCTGTGTGTGTTGGTCTGCCGACCGCCCAAATATGACGAGTGTTTCATCTCTTGGGTTCCGTTCTTTTTAAATATGACTCTGTTCTTATTCTTGGTGAACATACACATCTGTTGTAAGGATGGCCTGCTTGCTTAAGACTTTCTGGCTTTAATGGACTCTTTTAACCTCCTTCAGTGGGTAAATGAACCAACCCATGTTAAAGGCCATATTTTGGACTTGGTCTTTACGTATGGCCTGGATATCTGCATTAAGGATATAAATGGGATTTCAGATCATTTCCCAATTATTTTTGATATTGGTTTATCTGCCGCTGGACCGCAGTCTGTAGCTACTTCTCGTCTGCTACGTGTACTCAGCTCTGAAGCTGTGTTAAAGTTTGCTGTGTCTTTTTTTAGTTTTGGCATTCATGATACCTGACTGCTGCTCAGTTCGCTCATCTGATGGTTATGCTGATATTTTGTTATCATTATTTTCATCTACCCCTGATTTGGCTGTACCTGACGACTGTTCTCTCTGTTTGGTTGATGGTTGTGCTAATATCCCGTTATCTCTTTGTTTTTCTATTCTTGATTCTGTTGCTCCCACTAAAATGAAGCGCCCTAGAACCTACTCTCATTGCTGGCTTAACGATACTACGCGTGCCTTACGACATGTTTGTCGCCGTGATGAGAGAAAGTGGAAAAAAGATCAACTTCAGGTCTCTTATGATATGTTACAGACTAGCTGCTCACAGTTTCAAACTGCTAAAATGGCTAAGGCATCTTTTCTTTCCAAAGTCCTTCTGGCTTATGGTCACAACCCCCGTATGCCGTGCCCGTGTTACTTTCGACTCTGAAGCAGCTGGTCGATCAACTGAAAAACACCAATGCTGTCTTTGATATTCCCCCATCACGCATTGTTAAGGGCTGCTATGATGTAATTGAACCGAGCATTTTATTCTTAATGAATTTTTCTCTACTCTCTGGATCTGTCCCACTGGCCTTTAAGCATGCTGTAGTCCAGCCTATTCTGAAAAAAAAGAATCTTGATTGTTATGATCTCTTGAAGTATAGACCGATCTCTAAGCTTCCGTTTCTGTCCAAGATCCTGGAGCGACTAGTTCTTTCTCAGCTTCAGGCATATTTAGACACGAACAACATTGCAGAGAAATTTCAGCACTGAAACGGCCTTGCTTAGAGTTCTCAATGACCTTCTTGTAAGCACTGACTCTGGACGCTCTGTGGTCCTGGTTTTATTGGATCTTCCCTCTGCTTTTGATATGGTGGATCATAACATTCTTCTACTAAGACTTGAGCATACTGTGGGTAAAAGAGGCACTGCCCTTAACTGGTTTAAATTTTATCTCGCTGACAGGTCTTTTTCGGTTAATTTGGGAAACTTCTCATCTTCCTCAGTACCTGTACGCTGTGGTGTATATAATGAGAAGAGAGGCCCTGTTCTCTTCTCATTATATCTGCTCCCCCTTGGAGCAATTTTTGAGAAGTATAATATTGCCTTTCATTGCTATGCTGATGATATACAGATTTATTTTGAGATTACTGACGATCTTGCTATGTCTTTTCACTATTTTCGTGAATGCATGCGTGAGGTTAAAGGTTGGTTCAAGAGTAATTCTCTTGTCCTGAACGAAAAGAAAACGGAGATCGTGGTGTTCGATAGTAAAATCCCCCGCGACCAATTGTGTGCTGCTCTGATGCCTTTTGCTAGCTCCCCTTCTGATTATGCCAGTAATTTGGGCATATTACTGGATAGCTCGTTTAAATTTGACAAGCAAGTGTTTGCTGTTGTGAGGTCTAGTTTTAATCAGCTGTGCCTCATTTCTAAGGCTAAGCGCTATATTCCACACAATGACCTGGAAAAACTTATTTACGCATTCGTGACTTCCAGGTTGGACTACTGCAACTCTCTTTACATTGGCCTTTCCTCCTCCCTTCTCCTCGCAGACTGTCCAGAATGCGGCGGCACGCCTTTTGATGGGTAGCAGGAAACCTAAGTGCTCCTTTCAGAGCACTTAGATTTCCTGCTACCCAACTTCTTCTGGAGCAACCGTGTTCTCGGCTGAAGTCTCGGGGCGACCGTGTGTTTGCTGTAGCTGCCTCAGTCTATGGAACAATCTTCCTGCTGCTATCCGGGCGTCTGACTCTATGCCATTGTTTAAATCACGGTTAAAGACTTATTTATTTAATCTTGCTTTTCCATCTAGCTAATATTTCGTGTGTGTGTTGATACATTTTTATCTGTTATGCTTTGTTAAATACTTGTATGTATTATGGTTGTCATGGTTTTATGTTTAATATGTGCCGGGTCCTTTCTCTTTTCCCTCCCATCTCCTTTTCCCATCTTATTTTGTCAAGCACCTTGGTATACCCTTGGTTTTTTAGTGTGCTTTAGAAATAAATATTATTATTTGATTATTATTATCAGTTGATGCGACGTCTGCTGATTTATGAAAAGACTGAAGAAAAACATCACAATGATTCATTGTTCTGGCTCTTTAGTCAAATTCAGAATAACCTGCAGATTGAAGCTATAACATATGCTGACTTCATGAATCAAAGAGAACAAACACTCACATTTCTTCAAACCAGGTTTCAGCCTCTGCTCTCCACCATGCTCCAGCCTGGATGACAAACAAAGTCTGAATGACACTTCAGAAAGATTTTTTAATGAATCACGACCTTCAGTCATACCACTGAGATGAGCTGTAATCTGTGCTGCACACACAGACAGTCATAACTCTGAAGTGTGTTTCTGTTTGTGGTGCATTCTAGTGTTGCATTGAAGATTTTGTGTAGTCCAAAAAAGTTGACTTCCACACTCAGCCTCACATTCATTGTCTGATGACGACATTCACTCCGAGTCAGGTGGGCCCTTGTATAAGACGCTTTTTAGACTTAACAAAGACACACTCGCCCAGATGTTACATTAAATGTTAACAAACAATGAATAAAGTCTCAGATCGTCTGATAACCAGACTAATTGAACATGGATTTGTCTTTAATCCAAGACTTCCCAAAGACTAAACCTTCAGTAGCTATTAGCAGCTGTGAACCACCCAATCCCACCAGTGTGACACAAAAACACTGTGTGAGTCTCATTTTAATCTCTTGCCTCAGAATTTTAAGCTTCCAGTGTTGATGCTCCACTCCAGCAGAAAGCAGCTTGGTGGCGGTGTCCCCTGGATGGTTGTAGCTCAGGTCCAGCTCACTCAGATGGTAGGGGTTGGCTCTCAAAGCTGTGGCTAGAGAAGTACAGCCCTTCCCTGATATCATACAGCCTGACAGGCTGAGTATGCACAGAGAGAGAGATATAAAATGAAATCAGCTCGAGATGTTATTGGTATCTACTACCATGCAAAATTTAAACATGATAACTTGAAAACTGTGGATGCTAGACTGTTAACAAGCAAACAAACTGAACTGATTATATGTGCCTTATCTTTTGGGGAGAATGAACAAAGCCATGATGCTCTAACTGTCTGCATAATGTCGTCACTGGAATTTATATAGATTCATTTGCTGACACAGAAAAATAAGACAAAAAATGTAATGCTTTACGTTTAATTGAAATTTACAGGCAATGTTCTTTCGGTCCTTACATGTGTGATTGTGGGGGGTGAATGATCTGGACTTACTTGAGTTTCTCCAGTCTACAGCTTGGACTCCCCAGCCCAATAGACAACAGCTTCACTCCTGAATCGTGCAGGTCGTTGTTACTCAGGTCCAGTTCTCGCATGCTGGATGGCTCAGAGCTAAGAGCTGAGGATAGAGCTGAACAGCTTCTCTTTGACAGATTGCATGCACTCAGCCTGGAGGAGAGTTAGTGAAACAAAGTGATACTCTTTCACATGGAGCAAGAATAGCAACAACAACAACAACTATACAATTTTTTGTTTACTCGACTGAAATGATTCAGTAAGACAAATCAGTATGACACAGACTGAAAATGTTATTGGTTGACAAAACCCCTACATACGTATTACGTATTATCTGTCCACCTACAGAACTTTGCTGGCTTCTTTCGTTATTGGTAGCAGTCTCAGAAAAGCATCCTCTGAAGCAAAAACTGAGTATTTCTTCAGATCAAACACGCCCAAATCTTCTTCCGATGACAGCAAGATGAAGACCAGAGCTGACCACTGAGCAAGAGATAGTTTTTCTGTGGAGAGCCTTCCTGATCTCAGGGACTGTTGGATCTCCTCCACTAGAGAAGAATCATTTAGCTCATTCAGACAGTGGAACAGATTGATGCTTCTCTCTGGAGACAGATTCTCACTGAGCTTCTTCTTGATGTACTGGGCTGTTTTCTGATTGGCCAGTGGGTTACTGTCCGTCTTGATCAACAGGTTCTGTAGTTTCTCCTGGTTGGTCTGCAGTGAAAGACCCAGGAGGAAGCGAAGGAACAAATCCAGGCTTCCATTTGGACTCTTTAAGGCCCTGTCAATGGAAATCCTGTGGATCTTCTTTGAAGATGTTTTGCTAAAAAGGAGTCGAAGGTTTTGCAGAGACATTCGTGGTAAAGGCATCACATTTTTGTTGCTGTTTATTAGAGACATCTTCACATAAAAAGCAGCCAGAAAATCCTGAACACTCAGATGGACGAAGCTGAACATCTTGTCTTTCCCTTTCCTCCCTCGCTCCTCTTTAAAGATCTCTGTGGAAACTCCTCCACATGCTGAGACAAAGTCAATGCCGCTCTCTCTCAGATCCTTCTCATAGAAGATCAGGTTGCCCTTTTCCAGCTGCTCAAAGGCCAGTTTTGCTAATGACGTAATGTATTGAATGCTCTTCTCTGGGCCATACTTTTCTTTTGTCCGATCAATCTGAAACATCAGGAACTCTGCGTACATCTCAGTCAGAGTCTTGGGCAGCTCTCCTCCCTCTCTGGTTTTCAACACATCCTCCAGAACTGTTGCAGTGATCCAGCAGAAGACTGGGATGTTACACAGGATTAGGAGACTTCGTGATGTTTTGATGTGGGAGACAATCCTGTTGGCCTGTTCCTCATCTTTGAATCTCTTCCTGAAGTACTCCTCCTTCGGGTCAGTGAACCCTCTGACCTCTGTCATGCTGATAAACTCTGGGATCTGATTGGCTGCAGGCCGTGTGGTTATCCAGATGCGAGCAGAGCATAACAGTTTTCCATTTATGAGTTTTCTTAGCAGGACATCTGTTACTGTTGCCTTTGTTACATCGACAGAGCGAATGTCTTCAGAATGAAGGTCGAGATGAAGGCGGCTCTCATCCAGCCCATCAAACACAAACAGAAGTTTGAATTTACTCTTGTCATAGTTGGTGATTCCTGATGACTGAACATCTGTAAAGATGTAATTAAGAGCCTCCTGTGGGATGCCTACAGTTTCTGGGATGCATTCATGAATGAGCTCTGCCAAACTGAACTTTTCTCCCTTCAGAGGATTCAGCTGACGGAAGGTGAAGGGGAAAATCAGATGCACATCTTGATTGGATCTTTTTTCAGCCCAGTCCAAAACAAACTTCTGGACAAGGAAAGTTTTTCCAATTCCTGCGATTCCATTGGTCATCACTGTTTTGATGGGTTTGGATTCTCCAGAAGGATGCTCAAACATGTCTGTGGGTTGAATTGATTTCTCTGCTTCTGCTGGCTTCCATGCCTTTTCTAACGTTCGGACCTCATGCTGTGTGTGGAAATGTGCGCCACACCTGGCTGTGATGTACAGCTCTGTGTAGATATCAGCCAGATGCTGTGTGTCTTTTGCCCACTCTTCTTCTGCACCCAAAAATTTATCCTGGAAATTTGACTGAAGCATCTGCTGGTAAAATGTGATGGGATGTGGCTCTGGTACTGGAACCATCATATCTATGTCAAAAATGAAGGATAAAAAAACGAAAGTGTAAAGTGTATAATTAAGATATCGAGGATTATTCAGCCCCGAGCCCATATCAGGTTTACTGGCATAAATTACGATGTTTCAGCTGTTTGTAGTTATTATAATTTTATACATTTTAAAATATTCCTTAAACCAGTGATATAAACACTAGTGCTAATGAAAGTATACAATGGTCTACTCTTTTGGTTTCAGATGGTAGTAGTTGTTACCAATATGGAGAAAAAAAATTTTATATAACATTTTGAAAAAACTCTTATAACGTCATTTAAGTGATTTGGTTATGGCAAACAGCAGAAAATGTGTTCATACACTTAGGTTGATATGGGAGGTGAATAACTACAAATCATGTTTTCTTTGCTCAGTTTCCCATGTTGTTATCCTCCCATAAACGGCAGAAAAGAGTGAATAACTTCATTGTTTTAGCTAACTACAGAGACACTACTGCTGTGTTTACCAAGCTTTGAAGTGAAAGTTTCAGTTTAGAACTTTGACCTTTAGTTTAAATCTTCTCTAGTAAGCTATGTCCAAGGTAAACTGCAAGTATGCTAGGTAGTATATAGAATGATTAAAACACAATAGTCTAGTGAAATCTCCAACTAGGGCTGAGCGATATGACCTAAAATCTACATCATGGTATAATTTGAAGCATGTGCGGTAACAATATGTATCGCGATATATTCTTTTCTTCTGTATAACGTATTTTACACACTATAAGGCGCACTTAAAATCCTATAATTTTCTCAAAAATCGACATAGCGCCTTATGTATGAATTCTGGTTGTGCTTATTGACCTCGAACCGATTTTCTGTGCTACACGGTGCTCAAAAATCTGTCAAAAATGTTTTAGTCTGACTTTGCTAAGCTATGAAGCCGCATCGCTTGATGGATTGTTGGAGCATTACAGCTGCCGTAGTCAGGCGTGTCACGGAGTAATCTGGGTCCTAAACTCTGTCAGGTTCAGATCTCAAAGTCAAACGATCAGTGCGGCATCACTGAGAGTTAAAAACTGTCTAAATTATTTCATCTTTAATAAAATGATCAGCGTTGCTGCTTTACCAGGTGTAACAATTAAGTTTAACATCCAGGCATCCATGAAAACAGAATTTATTACATTTAACGGAGTTAGAAGTTAGCAGGAAGTTAGCTCGCTAGTTTCGCTAGTTACCTAAGCATGATATAGCATGTTCTGACTGAGAGATTTCTGAAAAATTCAAACGTACAGCTCTGCTATCACTTCCAACATAAATGAAGACAGAAAACTAAACAGCAGTGACGTTTGTAGGGTTACTGAAGTTGGGCTAGCTGGTATATAATGATGTGCTACGTGATCGCTAGCGACACAGCTATGTTAGCATAACATAAACACAGTGAAGCTGGAGGATGAACTTTTTTCCACTCGGTAAAAGTTAACGTGAGGGTTCCTGAGGGTTAGGGACAAATGCAATCATGGCAGGATGCTGTAAACGGACCAAACTTCAGTCAGGAGAACAACTGAGATAATCCATCCACAATACGAGGTTAGTCATTAATATACTGCAACAACATGGGAATAGAGCAGCTGCAGAGAATTCAGCATTAATGAATCAATGGTATGGAAGTGGAGGAAGCACAGTTTTTGGCTTTCCCCATATTCCAAAAGTGCTCCGTCTCTTTGCTATTACTGTCGCCCGCCATAATTTCCAGTTTATGCTGTTTATGCTACTTTCTCTGTATCTATGAAGCGCCTTGAGGCGACTTTTGTTGTGATTTGGCGCTATATAAATAAAATTGAATTGAATTGTTTGCAGCCGCTGCAATGCTTTCGACCAAAACAGGCAGCTTGATGACACCATCAACATGCGCTATCGTAGTAGAGCGGTATAGTCAAAATGTCTGTGAAGGTTCTCAGTCATCCAGGTCATCATAGTCAAAGGAGCTTGCAAAGAAAAGCGTCTGGGACCCACACCCAGTTTCACACCTTGGCTCAGGCGAGGATCATCAGGGGGTCCTTTTGTCCCTCTGTGGGGGGAACTCCCACTAGGTTTATATCTGGGACTCTCCACCATTTGACCTTAGAACTGAAGAAGCTTCTCGGATGAGAGGTGAAACGTCTTCAAGCAACTTAAAGAAGTCCAGACGCTTTTCTTTGCAAGCTCCTTTGACTATAGTCAAAATCTCTACTGTTGGCCAAATTTATATCGTTTCTACCGCCCATCCCTATCTCCAACCTTTGTAAAGTTAAAATTCAGTAAAAGATTTGGATTAGAAATGCAACGACATCACAAATATTGAGTATTTGTTAATTAGCCAATCATCACGTTATCAAACCTGACAGTAGTTTTACCATCAGTCTCAGAAGTAGGAGCCTGAGTCTTAGAGGAGAAAAGTCCTTTCTTCTTTTTAGCCTTCCCAACACTGCCGTCATCTCCTTTCTTCTTCGTAGTCTTCCCACCATCTTCATTATCCGCTTCTTCCTTTGAAGTCTTCCCATCATTGTCATTGTCCCCTTTCTTCTTTGGGCTCTTCCCACCATCTTCATCATCTGCTTTTTTCTTCGAAGTCTTCCCATCATTGTCATTGTCCCCTTTCTTCTTTGGGCTCTTCCCACCATCTTCATCATCTGCTTTTTTCTTCGAAGTCTTCCCATCATTGTTATCGTCATCTTTCTTCTTTGTGGTTTTCCCACCATCATTTTCATCCCCTTTCTTCTTTGAAGTCTTCCCACCATTGATGTGCACTGATAGACAAACAGACATTATGAGCATTAAAATAATATAACCTGCACTTTGTTGAACCTTTTCAGACAGCAGTGTTTGTCTCTTCCTGTGACTGACCTTCGGTTGTTGGGCTGCTGACAGAAAAACTCTGCAGCAGGTCATTTCTGTTAATTCTCTCTAAAACCACCTTGGTCACCTCCAAAGCTCCTTGGAGATCATAGGTTTGTATGATCAGGTCCACAGTTTCCAGTCGCTTTGACGTCTCCAGACGGCTCTTTCTGATGGCAGGGCGCCCCCGAAGGACATCACCATGCTGCAGGAACCACTTGAATTTATCAAACTCTTCATCTCCCAAATCTTCCAGAGTGTTTAAGAGGTCCTCTGATGTCATCACGTCAGATAGTACTGCAGGCTCTTGTGGTACAACTGCTTTATTGGTCTCTGTTTACCTGTCAAACATGAAATCAGACTTTAAAATATCAGCTGTTCCCTTTATACAAATAAAGTTTATTAACAGGTTATTATGATTCTCTGTTTGTCTAAATTGAGATCAGTTCATGGAGCGCCTCGTTGGAAAATAATGCAAATACAGCATTAGAACTTTGTGGCTGGAAACATGGAATGAGATGTCTGATTGTCAGTGATTGTCTGTATTTGTCAGTGAGTGTCTGTAATTGTCAAAGATGGTCTGTAATTGTCAGTAATTGTCTGTCCATCAAAAGATGGCGCCAGTGTGTTCGGCAGCCCGTCTCCACTGCTCTCTGCTGCTTCTTACCTTTCTGCTAATATGCTATTCAGGTGGCTCTGCATTGCTAACTTATGACCGGCTTACTCTTCTAAGTCTCCGGCCACCCTATACTTACGGGTCATACTTCCATGGATCGGACCCGTGGTGGAATTTAGGAGATACCACTCTGCTGCGGACGGATCACCTCTCAGGAACGTACGCGATCTCCGCTTCCTTTGCACAGGAGACGCTACAGGAAAAGGGGTAAACGGAGTGGTGTCCGTGTCCACATTAAGGCTTACCTAAAGGCACGGCTGGCTTTGACGTCGATGTGGATGCTCTCCGCATTCCCCCGACTTTCTGGGAGCACTTTACCTTTAGATTGTTTAAATGGTAAATGGCCTGCATTTGTATAGCGCTTTTACTAGTCCCTAAGGACCCCAAAGCGCTTCTACATACATTCATCACCATTACACCCATTCACACACTGGTGATGGCAGCTACATTGTAGCCACAGCGCACCCTGGGGCGCACTGACAGAGGCGAGGCTGCCGGACACTGGCGCCACCGGGCCCTCTGACCACCACCAGTAGGCAAACATGGGGTTAGTATCTTGCCCAAGGATATTTGGCATGCAGCCAGGAGGCAGCCTGGGATTGAACCACCGACCTTCTGATTAGTGGCTGACCTGCTCTGCCACCTGAGCTACAGCCACCCCGCATCAAGTTTAGGCATCGATGGATTCGCTATGCTGAGTTGCAGGCCCGCCCTGTCGCCCCAGTGGTTTATTCGCCGGCTCCATGTTGGATTAAGCCTCCTAAAGGCGGCGTGTGTTATGGCAACCTATGCCGCCCGAGACGTGCTTCCAACTGCGACTCGGCGTCTTCGACTCGGATGGCGCTTTAAATGTTAGGTCGCTGACTAATAAGACTTTTATTGTGAGCTATTTTTTTACTGCTACAGGACTGGATTTACTATTCATGATGGAAACTTGGATTCGTCCCGGTGAGTCTTTCCCTTTCTCAGAGCTCCTTCCTCCGAATTGTGCCTTTTTTAGCTCACCGAGACCTTCGGGCAGGGGTGGAGGACTGGCAGTGGTCTTATCACTGGCGATTTTAACATTCACATTTGTTGTAAAGATGATGTGTTTGCCAAGGATTTTCTAGCCTTAGTTGACTCTTTTAATCTTATCCAGTGGGTTAATGCACCTACCCACCTTAAAGGACATACCCTTGATTTGATTTTTTCTTATGGACTGGACATTTGTATCAGGGACATCAGCAACATTGGAATCTCCGATCATTTCCCAGTCATCTTTGATGCTGAGTTATGCAAATTGGACCAGAACTTTGAGGGTCCTCGACGTCTTGTGCGCATAATCAATCCTGGGACTGTGGCTGAATTTTCGGCTGCTTTCTCTAAATCTGTTCTCCCTGACTTTGATCAGTTCTACACCCTCTTCAGTTGATGATTTTGCTAACTCCTTTCTCTCTACCTGCTCCTCTTTACTGGACGTTGTGGCCCCTATGAAAGTAAAACGGCCTAGAAGCTGCTCTCAGCCGTGGCTAAATGACTCTTTACGCGCTTTACGACGCGTTTGCCGCCAAGCTGAGAGACGGTGGAAAAAAGATAGGCTCCAGGTGTCTTTTGATATCCTTCGCAGGACCCGCCTGGAATTTCAGAAATCTGCTAAGTTGGCTAAAGCGGCTTTTCTGTCGGTGTCATTGCGGATAATAGTCACAACCCACGTATTTTATTTAAGACTTTTAACTCATTGTCAATCCTTGTCCTGAAACACCTAGATTGGCTTCCTTAGCCCTTTGTGAAAATTTTTAACTCATTTTACAGGCAGAATCTTAAGAGTCTCACACCCCCCTGTGATGAGTCAGGCCCCAGCATTACGATGCTCTACTAACCTCAATCAGTTTGATCCAGTTTCGCTCCCTACTCTTAAGGGTATAACTGATCACCTAAAAAACTCAAACGCTGCTCATGACATCCTTCCATCTCGCATTATTAAAGATGGGTTTAACATTATCGGGCCCTGTATTTTATCATTAATTAACCTGTCACTGTTATAAACACACTGTAGTGCAACCTATACTCAAAAAGAGCTCCCTTGATCAGAATGACCTCGCTAACTTTAGACCCATTTCCAAACTCCCGTTTCTGTCTAAAATCCTAGAGAAGATTGTTCACTCCCAACTTCAAACTTATTTGGATGCAAATAATATCGGGGAAAATTTTCAGTCGGGGTTTAAGCCACGCCATAGCACGGAAACTGCATTACTGAGAGTCTTTAATGATCTTCTCTCAATTGCTGACTCAGGGCGCCTTGTGGTGTTCATTTTGCTTGATTTGTCCTCTGCTTTTGATTTGGTGGACCATAATGTCCTTTTAATGAGGCTTGAGCATCTGGTGGGCATCACGGGCAGTGCCCTTAGCTGGTTTAAATCCTATCTCTCAGAAAGGTCCTTTTCTGTCACCATGGATACCTGCTCCTCCTCCATTGCCCCTGTTACCTCTGGTGTCCCCCTGGGGTCTGTGCTGGGTCCCATGCTGTTCTCTTTATACTTGTTACCCTTGGGCCGAATCTTTGATAAATACAATATTTCTTTTCACTTTTATGCGGATGACATTCAAATCTATTTTGAACTAGCTGAGGATGTCACGTCGTCGTTGCAACACTTCTCCGATTGTATGAATGAAGTTAAAATCTGGCTACTGAGCAATTCTCTCATTCTAAATGATAAGAAGACTGAAATTGTAGTCTTTGATACTCCCTCCTCTCGGGCTGAACTAACTGGTATTTTTGGGCCCTTTGCTGACTCCCTTTCTGACACTGTGAGGACCCTGGGTGTTGTCTTGGACAGTTCCTTCAAGTTGGACAAACATGTGTCCTCTGTAGTTAAATCGAGTTCAATCAACTACGTCTAATCTCTAAGGCCAAGCCCTACATACCATGTAAGGACCTGGAGAAATGTATCCATGCCTTTGTTACATCCAGATTAGATTACTGTAATTCCCTTTACACTGGTCTCCATTCTGCCCTTGTTCACAAACTGCAGCTCGTTCAAACTGCGGCTGCGCGTCTCTTAACTGGAACTGGCAGGTTTGAGTCTATTACTCCAGCTCTTTCCGACCTGCACTGGCTCCCTATTAAACTTCGCATTGATTTTAAAATCTTATTGCTCACTTTTAAAATCATAAATAGCACCGTGCCCAGCTATCTTACGGATCTCCTCAGCTGTTATATCCCTGGGAGAGCGCTTAGATCAGGCCAAATGCTCCTGGTGCGACCTAGATCTCGGCTCAAGACCAGAGGTGACCGCGCATTCGCCGCTGTCGCACCCTACCTCTGAAATAATCTCCCTCAAGGCATCTGATTCAATTCAATCTTTTAAATCTTGATTAAAAACTTATTTGTTTAGCCTTGCTTTCCCGCCTCCTACAGCCCACATTTTTGGTGTACTGTAAGTTATCTTTTTCGCTTTATTAATATTTATAATGTTTTAACCTTCAGCCTTTCGGGTTGTGCCTACTATGCCTGGTGTATTATTGGTTAGTTATGTCACCCGCCTGTTAGTATATTTTATTTGTATTTTGTGTTTTGTATTTGTATTTATTATTGCTCTAACTCGTTCTGTGAAGCACTTTGGCATACCTGTGGTTTTTTAAATGTGCTATATAAATAGAATTGTATTGTATTGTCTGTGTCAGTGTCAGTGAGTGTCTGTAATTGTCAGTGAGTGTCTGTAATTGTCAGTGAGTGTCAGTGATCCTTTTTCATGCTTCAGCTCAGTGCTAAAACGGAGCAGCTCTGGTGTCACTCATTGACACAGTGCTAGCTCTTTCCTCTGCCTCTCACTGATTGGTGCAGCTTTGTAAACTGCTTTCTTTCATGCACTTCACAAGAATAAAATGATCGTGAATTTCTTGCTTGGTAACTCATGTGTGCTGACAGTCTGATATCACACAGCACCACCCAGCAGCAGCGGCTCACCTGCAGAGCCGCGCCCTGCCTGACCGTCAGAGCTGTCGAAGTTTCCAGAGTGGATTTGTGCTCAGTGAGCAGGTTTATGTTGAACTTGTGTGGCAGAAGTTAGAGCTGCAGCTTTATACATCTAAGGCAGCGGTCCCCAACCCCCGGGCCTCGGACCGGGACCGGTCCGTGAGTCGTTTGGTACCGGGCCGCGAGAGTTGAGGCTCAGGTGTGAAATGTAGTTTTCAGCGTTATTTTGTTATCGTTTTTATCGTTTCATTCCTGGGTCTTTTCCTGTGTGTTATGAATAAATCTTCTTTTTTTCGGTACCGGTACTAGTTTTATTTTGTTGTATTTATCCGCGACACCTTAAAGGCCGGTCCATGAAATTATTGTTGGGCATAAACCGGTCAGTGGCGCAAAACAGGTTGGAGACCGCTGATGTAAGGTATACAGAGACATGAAATAAAACCAATAAAACCACAAGAAATTCACAGTGAAACACAAAACTATGAGAAGGTAATAAAACTGTAAACCTTAACTGCAACCCTGATTCGCTGTCTTTAATCTTTACCTTGAAATACCTCATGTCTGTGTTTACTTGGTCTGGCCCGTATATGATAAACCCTATATGAGAATGCTGACTTTAATCTATACAGATTCCCGGGAGATTATAGTTTACACAGAATGAGATTAAATTCCTGGTGGCAGTGTTTCACATGAATCATATACAAACTGTCTGAAAGCTTTTTTTTCCAGAGCGAAGCAGATGATAGACCAAACATCCCTTTGCATTCTTTGCTGTTGTTTGGTGCTACAAAAGTTCATTACAACAACTGAATTATTCAGTCGAGAACTTCTTCAATCTTGTGGAACAGCACCAGTAACAGATGCAAGGTTTCACTGATGGTTACATTAAATCTAAAGATGCAGCAAACGAGCAGAAAAAGGTTTCCTGTAACCATACGGGCTGCAAAATAATGTCCAAGCATGACTCGATTTAAACTCTAATACAAGAAGATGATCGTCACAGGTACAGAGAGGAGCGCTCATCACAGCGCCGTGTCAAAGATGTCGTTTTTTTACTGGGTTGGTGCAGCTTACATTGTTTTATGTGTGTAGACTTGTATATGCCTGATTATGTTATACTGAGCCATGTTGATTCATAAATGATTAAATAGCATTAATGAGGGTGGATTGAAAAAGTGTGGCCTCCATCCTACTGCTCTGCCTCAGTATTGTTTGATATATAAACTTTTTCATGTAGATGTTATTCATCGATCTGGCTGTGAAATCCAGATTTATTTTAACTTGTGTGCAGAAAGCAGCTCTGGGACACACTGTTAATGCATCTGAAGTCTGCTGTAGTAAAACTGGAAATGAGTGAAAGTGATGGTTACGCTCAGAGCCCGCTGTATGCAGACGAGTGCATACAGAGAGCGTCAGCAGCACTCGTGAACGCAGCCGTCTGCACTCACCTGTGTTTGCAGAAACACCTGACGGACGCATGCAGCTCGTCCTCTGCCTCCAGGTGCGCTCGGTGCCGGGTGAGGTGTGGGCTGTTCTGAGGTCAGGCACTGCGATCTGTAAACTTCTTTCTCTGTGCGGCGCAGCGAGTCAAGTCAGCGGCGACGAGGGCTTCTGGTCATTCTGCGTTCCTGAGAAAGGTGCGCTCAGGTAAACGTCCCTCTGAAGGCTGAGAGGTTGTTATGAGCTGAAAGTCTGCTGACACATTTCATATGAAAAACGTTGGAAGGATTTGGATCTGGGCTCCGCCTCTCTCTGCACTGTCCTTAGACACATTCAGGCAGGTGTGTTTGTCAGGTAGATAAGGTTACCTGCAGCCTCACTTCCACAGAACTGCATCACCCCTACAGCCTCTGGCATTCCTTTAATATATAACATATCTGGCTGCAGCTACGGGTGTCCATACAGGGGCCTGAAATGTTTCCACAGCCAAAGAGCCAATCAAAGCTCAGGACTGAGAGAAAGCAAGTTGGTTTCCTGTCAAATTCTCCACACAGGTCAGAAACTTTTATCCAGAGTGGCTGATGGGAGCAGATCCTTCGCCTCCATCAGGTGCCAAATATTTCACAATCGCCTTTTATTAAAGAATAATCCCTCTGATCGGTTATCATCAGCACGACAGCACACGGGACTCAAACACTCCCACTAACAAACGTTAATGTGTGAGTCAGTGCAGCATCACCAACTGTGATTATTTGATCTGTCAATCGATTTCTGCGTCACCCCCTCTGATGCATGTTGATCTGATAAACGGCTTAGTTTCATCCCGCGCTCCTTGTTCCAACAAAACAGGAAACAAGCTTATATATGCATTTGCCCTGGAAGCCTGTCCACTCAAACCCAAAGGGGACGCATTTGTGTCACATAATCAGCAACTGCAACCACTAAAGGAGCGAGATAAGTACAGCCCGCAGTGAAAACTGCCAACAGCCTGGAGCAAAGTTTCAGGAGAAGGTGCCAAACCTGCAACGACTGTGACAAACTCAAACATTTTCCTGGGAATCAGCCGGGCAAGACTGGACCCGTCTGTCTAGATCCTGGGGTGGCAGCGGGGCAGGAGATGTTTGTCCTCAAACCTGCCGATCAGGTGGTTAGACAGAAGATTTGTAGGCTCTTGTATTTCTGCAGGTAATACAGGAACAACAGGACTGCTGTCAGTGTTTGAAATGTGGCACACAGAGGGCAGCAGCTGTCTCAGCTCATTAGATTAGAAAACAAACTTCCAGTTTAGGTGAAAGTTTCTCTTCGTCTTGGGAATTATTACTTTGCTGTCATTCAGCAGCTTTCCCAGAAATTATAACAAACATGTCCCGGGATGAAAGTCGGGATGGTTTCCAATTAGGGCTGGGTATCGTCACTGATTTCTAGAATCGATTCAATTCCGATTCACAAGGTCCCGAATTGATTCGATCCAGGATTCGATTCAATTCGCTTTGAATCTGGGAAATTTTGACAGTCAGAAATATTATAATTCAGATCAGTACATTTACATATTTTTTTATCAATAAAAAGGAAGCTGACACACGCAAGACTTTATCACAGGTGTGAGCATCACAGCAGAGGCCTTTGTGTCAAAGCAGCTGAAGATAAAACAGAAAAACATGAAGGAGATTTTCCTGGCCTGGATTTTATAAAAATATTCTGCAGTACATCAAAAACGAAAGAAAACCATTAATCAGCATATGAACATCACCTCTGAAGTTACAGCGGTTTTATTAGAGGCGTTTTGCATTTTGCATAATTTTAGAAAGTTTAAATTTGTTCAGTATTGAACGGCAGAAATTAGGTTTTCTTTTCGGAAGTTAGTAAAAGGGGAAAAAAACAGCGCTGTAAAGAACAGTAGACTGGTGCGTAACAAGCAAGCGAATAATGAAGAAAGGAAACTGTTCTTGAAGTACAGAGAGAGAGAGGGAGAGCTGTGCAGCGCGGTGGAAGCAAAACAGCAAAAGTCAGAGTGAATTCATGACGATGTTTATGTGAATCGTTTGGATCTTCTTTTGCTGCTGGTTCGGTCAATATTGTTTGGAGAGACATCAAACTAACAGCTTTAGAATCGGCTCATAAAGGGCGTGAACACAAAGCTCGACCCGCCGAAACATCAGGATCAGCGAGCTGTCGGCTTTCAGCCCCGACTGTGAGAAAGGCGACATCTCACTGATTCTGATCCGCGGGCCGCGCTGTGTGTTTACGTCTTTGTGCAGAAGCCGTGTTCCTGCTCTCATTTACTGTCTTAGCTGTTTGGTGGTTGTTGAAATTTTGTGAGGTTTCACCAGAGATTCTGGCATTTCGGGCAAAATAAATTTATATTAAAAAAATTGATTCAGGATTTTAATGAATCGATTTCACGTTATCCAAGCCAGAATCGATCTTAATCGATGAATCGATTATAAAAACCCAGCCCTATTTCCAATGTTGTTCCTGTTTCGAAGACAAACTTTTAAACTCCATCACGTTTAAAGCTGGTGGAGTTTAGTGCTCTAGGTGTTTGAGATGAATACCTGCAGCTGTGGCTCTCCGGTGAGCTCAGACTGATGATGATGATGAAGCACCTGACAGGTCTCCAGAGTCTGCTGTGTTTGTGCACAGTCGCGTGCACGTGTGCGCTCACTCTGATCTTCTGTGAAGGAGTGCCAGCATCCTGCTGTGCTCCCTCTGTGGCTGATAAACCTGTGTCTAAAACAGCTGACGTGGATCAGTTCCAGCTGTACAGGGTCGTCACTGTTCACGGTTGGTGTTCAGAACTTTGGAACACCATCCAGAGAGATGTGATCGTGGAGTAGGAAACACTGGTGTCGCCGTTTCATGGACTGAACAGGCAGAGTGTTATCACTGGCAGGTCAGTGCATAATCAAAGACCTGAGTCGTTATGGGCACAGTTAAATCGAGTGGTCTCATTTTGTTCTTCTTTTCAGTTTTATGGAGGAGCATGGTGTATGAGATTCACTTCATGAGCTCCACTTACTTTGTCTTCATTGTTTATATTTGCCCCGTATCCAAACAGCTGCCAGCAGAATAACCGTGGAGGAGGGCAAACCCGTCTGCAGCTGTGCAGGGGGGCATTGTTTTTTTTATGTGGTAGAAATCTGCTGCAAGGACCGAGCGGTGCCATCTAAGGACTGGATGCCACTGGAGGTGCCTAGAAAGGACGTTCTCAATCTGAAGGCCACCTGTTCCCTTGGAGGGTGGTAGGATGCAACGATTTGCAATTTTTTTGGATTAACGTTTTTTCTGAGATCTCAGGACACTTTTTGTTGTTACTTTTTCCTTTTTGGGTCAGATCTGATTCCACTTAACACAAAAAACTGATGCATCTAAAAGCAAAACTGTGACCAAAGACAATCCAAATAACTTGAACACTTACTAAGAACCCTGACTACTAAGTGCACTGAACTGAAATGGACAGCCTACCTGATACATTTATGGACACTTTAAGTGTTATATTGTACATTGTTGAGATTTACATGTTTGAAATGATTTAAATGTTTTGTTCATGTCTATGTTTTGGACCATTTAAAGGTTGAATACACTCAAATCACTTTTCTCCCTTTAAGTTGTTGTCAGTGTCTCATTCTGAGTGGAGGGATATTCCTTCTTTAAGGTGAGTTACCGCTGCCAGTCTCCTTACGATCCTTCTGAACCCAACGAGTAGATTCTCAAATATTGACTTTGTATGACAGATTACTGTGGATTCGACTGATTTTGGACTACTCAGTTAAAAAGGGTGACACATAACCCAAATATGATTAAAGGGCTAATGTAATTGAATTTGGTCATTCCTTATAATTATTGTACACTTGTAGAAAAATAACCTGACAAGCAAAAAGTCTTGGGGCAAATGAACATCTGTTAAAAGGTCAAAGCAAAAATGAATCTTCCAATCACAACATAGGAAGGTGAATATGAAGTATACAGTAAATTCAGCTTGATCTCCAAATGACCACAAACTGTT